CCGTACCCATCGCATAGGTCATTATTGATGACTAAGGGTCAGTCATGCCGTAATTGAAGTCGTAGTTGAAGTCATCCCATCTCACTGTTTTGAGCTGTAATTGACGGACCAGAGCACAACGTGCCTCGTCTCATCTTGCGCAGAGTTGTTCTTTTGTTAGGTATTGGCGCAGAGCCAGGTGGGCCATGAAGCCGAAAGATCAGATCGAATGCCAAAAATAAGCCTTGGTGGGAAGCTATACGCTGGGTTTCAATCTGTAAAGCGCGCGAAATTCCAATCGCAAAAGATCTGTTTCCACAGAATGTTGGCTGCGTGTGGTTTTCACCATGCGGGTAACTAGCGTCAGCTGTCAGCTTAACCATTCCAAATAGAAGATTTACTGATCTGCCCAAGGTTACATCATCTGAGATCCTGAACACCGTCTTCATAAACGTGAGCTTCCCCGCCAGAAGTGGTCTCAATGACGGCGACTGCAATCTGAAAATGTCTCCAACACCTTTTAACGGATCGGGCGGCGTGCTTCAGCGTTGTTTCGGAATCGCGAAGATAAAAGCAAGCACCGGCTTTGGAACAGGCTGTTGTGTAATAAGCCTCAGACCTGGGGAAAAATGACAACCTGCTCAGAAATCAATCCGTCTTTTGCATCCGAATCGGTTTCCCTGATGATACGAAAGTCTGAATTGAGGAAGAATACCTATCACAGCTGCACCATCTACTCAAGTTGGTGAAGAGAAGTCGATTGCTGGGGCAGAAAAGTTTATTTGCCCAGGCTTTTGTATCGGTCATCGGGTTCACTGTCACAGATACGCAACGATCCATAATTAAACAAACAGTTCGGTTTTACGCCACTGCGAATGACTGCATCAACCCCAGTGCAACATTACATCCGCAAACTTGACGAAGTACGATCTGGTATACGGGCGCGTGATCACGACGGATTTTTTAAGCAATGCGCAGCCTGGTTCCTAAGCGTTGAGTCGCTAAAACGCGTTCGCGCTGATTGTTCGTCCGATTGTCGACCTACAGTAGGTGGGCTAACTCATGAAATGTCAACCGAAATTCCGAGATGCGTTTTCGTCTCGAAAAGATTAATTTAAAAGGGTTGTAAAACTAATTAGCCTGCAACATATTTCAGTTATCTCAAGATGCCGGCTTTCGAAAGAACTGCCTTTCGGCTGCATACAAAAACTACACTCTGTAAAAAACGACTACTTAAGTGGCATGAATTTTTCTCATTGATTTTCGATGCTCCTAAAAGTCCAATTATACTTCATGGAAAACATGCATAAAATATTCATTCTTTTACTCATTCGGTAGAAAATTACGTCTTCGTCTAACTTTATGCTAGAAGGAGGGATATAATTCGGTTTTAAAAGAGTTTCCAATTGTAGGACTTTTAAATACAGTGAAATGGCCGTTCATAAATCGTCATGTCTCTGCATTTACCAATGTGGCTTTTAAAGTTAACAATATGGATCAAATCCACTGCTTAATTCTACGAAGCCTATATAGTCCCCCTTTATTACCGTAGAGAAATGTGGGGTTTTCCGTACGCGGAAAATATGCGGCTTGTAGTTTAGAAATCCTGAATGCAAGTGTAACCGCAGGTCGGGTTCAAAATTATTCGGGAGATGGAGATGTTTTTGAAAACCAAATTATACGCTTTCTTCGAGTAAAAGAATGGAAGAAGACGTAATTTTCTAGCGAATGAGTAAAAGAATTAATATTTTTATGCATGTTTCCATGAAATATAATTGGACTTTTAGGGGCATCGAAAACCAATGATAAAAATGCATGCCACTTAAGTAGTCGTTTTTTACAGAGTGTAGTTTTTGCATGCAGCAGGAAGGAAGTTCATTCGAAAGCCAGCATCCTGACGTAACGGAAATATTATAGAATTATGTCGCAGGCTGACTAGTTTAACAACCCTACTTAATTAAATTTTTCGAAACGAAAACGCACTTCGGAATATCGGTTGACATTTCATGAGTTAGCCCACTTACTGCAGCAATAAAAGTTAAAGGTGTGATTTTGCTTCAACCACTGATTAGCCACGAACAATACTTAGTCTCGTGCAGTCAAACTTCCTTTTTATGCTCAAGTAACCACAAAGTTACAGATATTTCGCTCCTGACCGGATGGCGACATTGGAAGGCGCTTTTTTTCGACCGCCTTCAAAAACCACACAGAGCGAAGATGACTGCTTATGTTTCATGGTGTTTTTGCGTTCGTATTCGGTGACCTAAGAGATCCAGACATAACTCACAGAAAGCATGCACAAAATATCATTTCGCGTTCTTGTTTATAGGGACTTACATCTGTTTTCAACTCCATGCTCAAGGAATGGATATCCTTCGGCTTAAAATCTGTAATTGTAAGATTTGATGAGACCGTGCAGTGTCTATCCAAACGACGTAATCTCAACTTGAGAAGTATTAAACGTGAACCACATCAACTGCGAGATAATATGACATCGTATAACACATTCTCAATAACTTAGGGTGAAGTATGACTTTCCTTTACTGAAACGTAGACAGCTTGTAGTTTTGAAACCCTACACGCAAGTACAAAGGCGCGTTGGATTCAAAGTTATTTAGGAATCGAAAAGTTTTTTAAAGCGGAAAAGTACCGTTTCGTAAGTCATGAGTTTCGAATGAAACGTAATTTGCTGTGAAATGAGCACAGTAGTGGAGAGTTTCGTGCATTCTTTCTGTAAATTATGCTTGAATTTAAAAGAGTGCCTGAAAACTAACAAAGAATATCATTGTTGATAGAAGCGAACAGGCGAGTTCCAAGTAGCAGTTCAGAAGACGAAGATGCGATCACTGGAACAAGAAATTTATTGGCCTGACGTTTCGGATTCTCACTCGAATTCATCATCAGAGACATTCGCAGATAAAGGTGACGGTGGCACAAGGCGTGCAATATTTATAGCATGTGGCTGCCGTGGGACAGTATGCGCACTGCAATTAACAGTTCTCGCAATCACCGCTGGGGTCGTAATCATACTAACTAAATAGCCATTTTACCGAATGGGATTTTACAGGCGACAGGAAAGAGGCGCATTCGAAAGTCGTCATCCGGTACGGGCTAAAATATTTCTGTGTTATGCTACTCCACAATTTATATAACAACCCTACATTCCAGTTGGGTCAAAGTGAATTAGCCAAAATCTTCCTGTAAATTAAGTAAGCCTGGTAGTCATCTGGTGGATCCGAGATGAATTACTTAGGAGATCCTGCCTGGGCAGTCAGCTTGCTGTATCAGATTTGGTGGATTCCAGATGTTGCAGTAGGCTAGGCGGGCAACTTGGTCCCAGTGGGATTAAAATTTCGCATCCCGGTGGGGCGTCGTAGCTCAGGTGACTGAAGCGTTGGCTGTACTAAAGCCTTCCGCCTGCTCTCGTGGGTTCGAATCTCACTGAAGCACCTAATATTTTCACATTTAGGTCAAAATGAATCAGTCCCTTTCAGTCAAAAAACACATTTCATAAATTCGAATGACATTTCGTGGGGTACGGGCAAGGCTAAATACTTAAGATATTGCGGACTTAGTGGGAAATTTGCAGTTTAGGAGTGTGCGCGATATCGTGGAATGACAGTATTGGGGGTTTGTCCCGCTGGTAACTTGCGTGTAAACTAGTTCGCAATGTTAGTAGATTTGCACAGCGTCTCTCGCACACTTCCTTTACCCACTCGCCTGGACCCAGCGGTAAGACTAAGTTAGGACAACCTGATCGCGTTCGCATTCCTTATAAAGAGCATTCAACAATGAGCATGAGGTGATGTTGGTGGTCGCCGCGTTCGGATGATACGGTACGTACTAGGAATTGATCTCAGGAGGAAGATAGTTACACTCCAGTCTCACCAGCGAAGACACTAAACAGCTAAAATTTCTCTGCTCTGTCGACGTCCAGTTAACGTCCGCATATTTTGTCACCTCACAGAACTGACTAAGTCGCCAAACCCGCTGGGCATGAAATTGAAACGAAGTTTAAAGAAGAGGAATTAGAGAACACTAATTGTTTCATATCACAAACGACGAAAGCGATAAAGTCCAAAGACAGAGGAGCAGCATTGCACTTAGTGATAAAAGGCAGCCTCCGATAAGACGCCTGGACGCATATTCCGAACTCTTACAAGGTCAAGGTCAATCTGGTGACCTTTTATTTAGCTCCTCGGGTTGAGGCTGAAGGCCGCAATTCAGCAGCACTTCTTATACCTGCGCTATTATTCGACGTCTGCCAGGCTGTCGCTGAGACTCCTGCAAACCGGCAACCATCCCCGTCTCCTCAACCGGTTGTGCAGGTGCCGCGATTCTCTGGAAGCCAATGTGCGCAGCGCTGGCTCCTGAGCACACGCAGGTGCGCGTGCATGTACTATTGTCGCGAGCCCCTTACCCTTGGTCTGTCTGTCCCCATACGTCCTCGCGCGCGTTCGCCCCCGAGGTGATCGATAGACAGACAGACGGCTCAGGCGCGCGTGCGCGCAGTTGCAGCATTCGCTGAGGTGCCGACGCAGGTGCAGCGGCTATCACCACCGCCACCACCGTCACAACCACCACCACCACCACCACCAATGTGGTTAATGAGCTCATCAATTACTCATTCTCGCATCGTTCTTCTGTGGTGTATGTGCGTGTGCCAACGGGAATCCAACCGGTTCGCGTGCGCAAGTGCACGTTACATAATCGTCATCATCATCCTCCTCATCAGCAGAACGCTGAAAACAGCCGCAAAATCACCCCGCTGTCGCTTTCAGCACAGTCTCATTCCTTTTCATCAGCCCGACTAACACTCGTTCAGGCACACATACACACACACGCACAGCACACACTACACACCCACCGCTGGGAAAGGACTAGGAGGACAATCCAGTCGCACAGCTAGTGCGGGACTAACGTTCTGAACTTTCCTTGAAAACTTTCAAGAGGCGGGCAGACAAGATAGCAGCACAATCGAAGAATCCTTCATTGACAGGAGTAGTCAGCAGCAGTCAGAAATGATGGATCTGCGACGCTCACGCTTCTGGACTGCATGGCTATGCCTACTGTGGCTGGTGGATCTCCTACCTGCTATGGCTTCAAGTCGGAGACACCAATTAGTCGGCGGCCTACAAACCAGCGCTCGGCAAGCATTTTGGAGGTCGATTTCACCACAGAATAGAGCGCAAAAACGCGGATTTTCCCCCAGCTTCCTGAATTCTGCCAAGACCTACGCAACAGACAATGAACTGCGGCCTGACATGTAAGCACTCTGGTGTTTATTCAAGGTCATCTAGATACTTTTTGACCGCTACCTAGATGGCTCCCATTTAAAGAGGGAATTCCCTTCAAATCGGCGCCTCAGTTGCATTAGAGTCTTCAGAGGCATTTGGATATGTAGTGAAAGGCTTCTATGCTCAGGTATTCATGCGACTTTTTGACCTTCCTGCGCTCTGAAATCGAGGGTGGGTTGGGGAAAGACTGTAAATCGCACGCTGTGTATCGGCGGGATTTTTTTTTTAAATAAAGGGGTGTTTATGAACGAAACGCCTTAGGTCAAGAAAGTGTCATATTTTGAAAAAAGGCAGGACTGCTCGACGCTAACAGAGATGGCGACGGTTTTGCGAATGCCACTTAACCATTCATTGCGTTTGCGTTCGTTCGCAGGCACGTGTGAACTGCTAGACACAGTTTCATAGTGGCTCTTAAGGCTATTTCTTTGACTGATTGAGAATCACGAGGCGGGTTACATAGCTGTTTTAACTGACCATGATATTGTACGAAGATCCTCCCCTAGCTGCTCCTTCATCCACTCCAAAGCGCTCCTTTTCAACCGGCGTCTTCTTGCTGTCATGAAAAAGTCTAGTTTTCAGAGCAAAAGTTAACCGAGACATTATTTTACTTATCTTTTAGGCGGCCGTTGGCCTAGTACGAAACATATACTGCCACGTTGATTTTTCCCGTCTGCAAGAAAAGTAAACAGTAGGATTTCAAAGACCCTGCCTATAACTCTAAAAAACAAACTAAAATAAACTGAAAACACACCTAAAATATACTTATTTCTGACTGTCAGTGTGCCATAAAAACATCCATAATCCTGTCGCCGAAGTCCACTGAGGCATATCCACAAATCTGTCGAAATTATCTACCGGGTTATCTGTGAATGTGGCTTGAGTAGATGAAAGGAAATAGTGTACCAATAGACAGACGTGTCCGGACCAAGGAAGACTGAGACCACAGGTGTTTCAATGTATTCATCCTCTCGGTAGCGGGGGGGGGCAGGGTGTGATCGACTGGAGAGGGAGGTTAATGGGCCCAAAAGAGCTGCCGCCTTAATGTTGACTGTATTTGCCATTCAGTTCAGTCTGTCGTTTGGTCGATCGTTTTTGGGTCGTGTATTGGCAATACTTACCAGCAAAAGACGGGGCCAGTTTGTTCTTAGACACGAACCAGATCCATGTACGGGTATCCTAACGAAATAACTTTACTGAATTGAGGGGGGCGTCAGTGATACAAAGAGTTTTGCTCTGATGGGCTAAACACCTGTAAATTTACATAGAACTTTGGTGGACATTTCTACGCACACTGCCACCCCGTGGTTAACTTGTTCTTTCTGATTTTGCTGGCGTAAGTAAACTGGGAATATAAACCGCATTCGCTGGAGGGTGCGCACATTTGTGTTCTACACTGGTGACCCCAACGTAATACGCACACAACTCCCAAGTATCCCTCACGTTCCTTTAGTACCCACCAGGATGCTGCCTCGGCCAGACTAACATCATCATCAGCCTTTCCTTTTTTAACTCAGTATACCTTCAAGATACAAGTTAGGCTTGAGAAATGTGGTTGTGTTAGAGTACACACTCGAGGAGGTCTGACGGTGCTCTGACTTCACTCGTTTGCGTTAGGACCAGTCGCTTCTAAAGGGGTTTAAATTGCTCGTAGGCATGCGAACACGGATGTTGCAAATGGCCCCTTACTGGAAATATTAAAGGCGATGCTCCGTCTAAGGTCAAACTAATTGGCATTAAAGTCAGTAGGCGAGCAGTGTTGTACTAACTGATCTGTCAGCCAACAAGTCGGACAGACGGAATCGCAGAGAGCAGCGGGTTTCCCATTCACTTCCAAAAGAGTGAAAATGCGGCTCTCAGGTGGCCTGAAGGAAGGGGGCGGAGGAGGGGGGAGGGTGTGACGTTTGATGCCCAGACTAGCCAATGCAACTATTGATCTTCAGTCATGATGTCCGCGACTCTCTGGGCCACCGTGTACCACCTCGAACGGCGAGAACGGGATGGCGCTTTTACTACAGTCGAACAGGAGCGCGTGACTCATTCACAGCCGACATCAGCGATCTACCCGACAGGCAGGTGGAACGGCACGCGATCTGTAGGCTTCACAACGCAAACTGTGCACGGAATCTTTTAAAGATGGGCGGCTGAATTCGCTAGGTGCGGCGTTGGACGCTTACTAGAAGCACATTGCCCGAACATTAATCCAAATGCAGGGGGTACAGAAGCCCCTATCTCACATTCCGCTGGGCTACGACAGCAAAGTGAATTGATGGTGGGAAAACAAAGATACGACAGGTACAAATGAGGAGACACGACCATCGTTACAAGAGTTTTATCAGCCTGACGTTTCGGATTCTCACTCGAATCCCTCATCGGGGACAAAATCGGACAAGGGTAGTGATTAGCAGAGGTGCTGCAGTATTTATAGGATGTAGTGAGTGAGAATCGGAAACGCCAGGCTAATAAAGCTCCTGTCCCAGCGATCGTGTCTTCTTCTTCGCAACTCCTTCCTAGAACCCGCCATCTAGCTATTATCGGTGATACAACAGGTACATAGTTCGATCGCAAGACGAAACAGATATGGGTTGTGAAACTTTCAACAAAGGTCATGTACAGAAGACCATAATGTAACCGCGTAAACTGTCCATTTCACAGAGGATATCCCTTTCAGCACTCGTCAACCAGCCTTCTACGGCCTTCAGATCCGGATGGTAAAGTCAGTGGCAAGCTAGTTCAGATGTCAAGACCTGTATGCTTGAAATGGAAGACACTCTGTCAGATCCAACCCAGCTATTCCACAGCAAACGTGTCAGTCCGGTCTCGTAGCCTACCGGTTTGCGGCGTCTTGCTTGACTTGGAGGGAGAGGAGGGAGCTTGAGAATAGGAGAGGCATCACTGACTGTGGACGTACTGTTCGGCAAGTGAACGTCTTCTGTCAGTCTCTAAAAGCCAACGCCTTTACCCATGGTTCCATCTGCTCCCCCAGAATATAAATAAAGTCCTTAAACACCTTCAGTATTAATTCATTTCTTGTACGTTTGCTTAGCACCGACCACAGGGCAGTCGGTACACTCTAGGCAACTTGAATGGGTGAACACATCCCTCTGCGCGGAGAATGCGTGGGTACAGGTTTAATGCAGTCAAGCGTGTTAAAATATGTCCCCCCCCCCCAACCCAACCAAATATTCGACAGTACTCACAGATCACTGGAACTCCTTAGACTTTTACTGTCTCACCGAATGGACGAGTTGCAGTGCCCCTCAGGTAGTGTGCCTCCATTTTCCTCCTGTAAGAATCAAGGCATCTAAAACCACCTGGAATCAAACGAAAGCACCACCGAAGGTGTCAGGGAGAAACCGCCATCGGCAGTTAGTAAACTGTTTATTAAGTTCGGCTTTTCCCCAAAAAAGTTTACTTAACAAGAAGGCGAATGTGTGTGTGTGTGTGTGTGTGTGTGTGTGTGTGTGTGTGTGTGTGTGTGTGTGTGTGCAATACTGATGAGCTCTCACTAAAGTCTCGATGTAATTCCGTAAAAATTTGCCCCCTGACTCAACAGTGGGGATTACAGAAACCAGCCATTAAATGTTTCTCAAGGTAGCTGCCTCCCTCCTCAGTGTGCACTTTTCTTCGGCCGGAGATGTTAAATAATCGGTTAGGCTGAAGTGAAACCACCCCTAAAATCAACTCTCATGAACGCAGCCACCCCCAACACTTCTTCGATCTCATTGTTGAATGTCATTCACAGTGTCTGTGGGAACGGTACCAGCAAGACCAAGCTCACATAATATCATCTCGTATGAGAACATACACTTCTAAGGTGTACCTTTACTATCAAGCGGAGTCATTTAAGTATTTCATCTCGCCCATATGTCCATATGTTGTTATGATTAGCCTTTGTGCCATATAGCCAGATGTAAAACTCTACTACGTTGCCGCATAAAGCTATTACCTTTTCAGTTTCTACAGTTTTATGTCGCGCGTTGCCACCAAGCAAATAAGTTAGGTAAACATGGGTAAAGTGAGTTTACTTTGAGATGCATCATTTGCGGGCTAGACAGTCAAAAGTCAGCTGAAACATTGTGGTTCAAGAAACTGAATGTGATGAGTTTACCTGAAAAAATCACCTCAGAAGTCCATAACCAAATGCAAAACCCTACCCGTCGAAAGCAAGTTGCAAGCATTTAGGCATGGATTTCAGGTAGAGGGATACTGCCAAGTAATCGTCTTTGATAGGATTAATAATCCCACCTAAAAGTCAGTTTAACAGCTGTTGCCCTTGCAATACTTCGCCTACGTAACTTCTTTACCAGTCCGTGTGCCAAAGTCTGTGCTTTCGCAATCGACGACAAGTTGTCGCCATGCCGGGGGCTGAGTCACGCACTGCAAAGTCCTTCCACTAGCAGGGGGGGGGGGTGGGTGTTAGGCGGACCAAAGACGTCATGGGTAAGCAGACGGGCTCGTGACCGCAGGAGTGAGCATCTGCACTACCACCGGCCTCCTGACTCTTCTTGCCAAATCCGCGAGTTGTTTCGGAGTTGCTAATGTCTGTTTTTCTTTTAATTGTCGCACGCATCGCCGTATTGTGGTGTGCGGATTCACTCAGGTCCCGCGCTCACCACGCTATCCCAACTGCAGGACGGAAATGACTATTCGCGTCTTCTTCTAGGGCTCCATGGCCAGGATCCACCTCACCTGCCCTTTGGTGATGAACAGCCGATCACCGATAAGCGTTACCAACAAGAATTAGGAGTGCCGGAATGGTCTTAAATGTTCTGTCAGTCGTCATCACTCGGGGACATCCCAGGTGCCTTAAGTCAATGTTCACTTTGAGTGGCGGGAATTCGAAGGAATTTGTGATTGTAATTCCGAAAAAGCGCGAAAAATAGGAGTCTTTTTTTTAAAAAAAGAAGAAATTTCTTCTTTTTTGAAGAGTACCTGTCAACTGCCGGTACTTGTGTCGGCTGACCACTAAAAGCTGCCGTCTTTGAAGGCGGGGAATTTACAGACGGGTCAGCCAAAAACCCCCCTGCGTAAGCAATTTCTCTGGTAGAACTTGTCATGCGCCCAGGTTGCGGATTCGAATTAACTCAGTCTTGCAAGCACAAAAAAACAAAACTGCGCTGAGATGAAGCCCAGAAAGTCAAAAACTGCGTACCTGACTTCAGCGGGTGGCTGATCCGCTGAGGTTTGTGCACGTGTCAGTTACTGACCGAAATGACGACTTTGGACGCGCTGTCAAGTTGCCAAACCTACTCAACTTTCTAGATTGACACATCTTGCGAGTGGCTGTTTAAAAGGAAAAGGTCTGCCTAGAAGCCTAAAAGCGAAAGACAACCTGGCTGTTGTGGTTTCAGCGCTGTGTTACTGTTACATCGGTCATAAGATTGGAAAAGAGAAAGCAAACAGTCCGTAGTACCGGCAGTGACTGCCTGTGTCGGGCGGTGTCTTGTTTCAAGTCGGTGATGGTTTCATCTTGCACAGGGAGCTCTACGTGATCGATGACCTATGCCTCATGGTTGAAGAGTCGTTGAGGATCGTCGTCTGAGAGTCCGGATCCGACAACGGAGGACTAATTCAATTTGCGAAAACACTAGATAAGAAATAACTTTGTCTCCTAGATTTCCTATTACCCAAGCAGAAGTGCTTTAAAAAGTAGTTCTGACCTGGCAACTGGGGCAGACGATGGAGATTGTAGACGTTGACATCACAAGGTACCCTGGGCGTTTTCTTTCATTGCCAGTGTGTTCTGTAAGGATAAACGTTTTTGAAAGTGTACTCTTGCAGTCTGTCATCTCAGTAAGGCATACGTGGAATGGGTGAAGAAGTTACGACATGTAAAAGTGGACTCCAGTTGAGTTTTTTCAAAGAAAGCGCTTCAGATGACTCTGGACATGCGTAAAAAGGTTGCGCCTGTACAGTTCAGTTTGGACCACCTCAGAGAGATGGAGAGGATATCGATGTATCATCAGTTTCACCTCTGTTCATGCCTTCTTAGGTGAGTCATAGTCCTGATGAGCACCTCCGACGCAACACACACAGAGACGTATGACGTGTAGAGAAACTCTTAAGTCACCGGTGGTACTACTGAGCTGAGCGTTTCTGATCTGTTCACCGTCGTCAGTCAGCTATGCCGTACCACCGGGTCGAGGGGTGGAGGGACTAGAATACAGAAGTATGACTGCAATCGCTGAACCTTCCGTTCCAAAAGTGACCCACGGGCGAGCATCTCGTACGCCTTCAAATAGTAGTAGTAGTAGTTGTAGCGGTATTAGTAGTACTGGAGTCGTTGTCAGACGGACAGACGAGAAAGGAAAATTTACAGTTGCAACAATATGCTTAAATCTAACAGGCTCAAAAGAGGCCTATAATTGGCGGTTAATAGACTCTCGATGAAGTTGTCTTCAGCGCTGTTCTCGCTCTCTACAACAAGCGCACTTCGGCTCATGTCCTTATAAAACTTTATTCACTCATGACACAGTGATGGACGGGGTCATCTAGGTTAGAGGATCGGGAAACCATATCAAAATCAGTTTATGAATGGGAAAGCCAGACGTTTGTGCACAACATGACTTCGATGTGTACAATATTACGCACTGTCCACTTCATCCTGGATGACCGATAACCTCGAAATTTGCTTTGGATAGAGGAAATCCATTAAGTAATTGGGCCTGGTAGTCAGCTGGGGGATTCTAGGAAATTCTAGGAGTAAACCCATGGCTCCCAGTGAGGCCTCGAAGGTCAGATGGCTGAAGCGTTGGCTGTATTGTAGCCTCCTCCTTGTTGTCATTAATTCAAACCCACTCGAGGTCGGCGAGTTTCTCATGACTGAGTCAGATTAATTATTCCCATCTGTCATTAGACCTACATATATTATGAATTCGCTATAATTGAGCCAGTCCTTTGAAATCACGCATCTGAAGTCTCTACCATAAGCCCTCTCGGTCTTTCATACTATTAAGTGACAGTAGTTCGATGTTTTTCCTGGGTAGTTTTACGAACACTTAACTGGATATTCAGTTTTTCTTTACTGCTTCCGTGCCCATCATAAGAGGGAAGTTGTCTCATACGAACTTTCCTCAATGCAAGCATGAAAGTAATCGATCGACTGGAACGACAGAAATTGCTGTCTCTACAGATCGAGGAAATGTCCTCCTTCACTAACTATTCGGACAGACTGCATTAGTGAGCGTCGGTATGACAACTCCGTTGCCTGCGAAAAAGGCCGCAGCTTTTGCCGAATTGTGGTTACGATCCATTTACTAAGGCCTCAATCAATGTGGTCCAGTATTTTTCTTAGACCATCAGTTTTTCTTACGTGGCCGCAGTCAGGAAAATCACGGCATAAACGGTCTTTTGACCATCTAAGGGCCATGGTCAGTTCCCCCCGGAGGTACTGTCCGAGCTCCAACGGTATTCAGAGGATTATTTCCTGTCAAATAATGATATGATCAAGGCGTGGCAGGCGTTTTCACAAACAGGATGACTTTATCAACGCGCTAGTATACCTTCGTCAAGCCATCCCATCGTGTTCGCAGTCAAACGGGAGTAGGGCCCACTAGTTCGTCCTGCTTCCAGAACGGAAATGAGCATTTGCGTCTCTGTCTCGGGGTTCAGTATATTGCAGTCATCACAGACGATTCCACAACAACGAGTAGGGCCTAGCCCAAACGTGCCGTTAGTCGGACGCGGCCGTCCGAGATTGGAACCGAAGTCGGTGAGCATTTTCAAACTAAATGTTCCATCACTCTTGCTATTGGCCAACATTCTGCCAGTTGTGATTGGTAATATTTAATGTCACTCGCGAGTGACGTTAACCATCCTATCCTTATTGTGGAATAAAAACTGAAATTTCCGTTTTTGCGGTAGGTCAGTGCATCCAGGGCCCTCGCATAGAGACGTGCAATCAAGGGTTTAATAGATAATGAGAAAGGACGACTGGAAGGATCATGTCTGACTTGCTTTCCGTCGTGGACAGTTTTCGATTATAACCACCACCGTTGCGTCTGGAAAGGTTGCGAGCTAATCGGGATTTATCCTTATCGGCCTTATTCGAAAGTGTCTGCAAGAAGGAACTAGTTAGATGTTTTTACCCCTAAAACGGGCCATGCGGCAGATGCGCTGGTCCAAAACCGAAGCTAGATCGAAGTCCGTCAGACTTTATCGGGAATGCGCACTCATAAAAAATGCCAACACTGGGGGTGTGATGGAGGCCTAGTTACAGGGGCACACCATGCCAGTTTGCATCCTTGTCGTCCCCTATGTTTCTTGTGGTATAAAATCCTGGTCGATGTAGGTTGTGCACCGGGGAGTGTGGTGGTACGCCTAAGCTTGGGTTGCCGTCGGGACGGCCACCCGCGTCCTCTCTCAACTCCGGTCTTCTTGACTCTGTTTTGACGCCGGGCCCAGGTGGAAGAGGAGGAGAGAGCGCAGTAAATGCTTTGCAAATCTACTATCATTATAAATTAATTCACGCGCAAGTCACCGCCTCTGCTCTAACCTTGCCGCGGAGCACACGTGGACATCGTCAGAACCGATGATCGAACTGTAAGTGCCAGGGTTAGTGTTAGGGTCATAAGGGTTGGGGTAATGTTAAAGATAAGGTTAAGGTCAGGACACGGGAATAGGTGCCCCTCTTGGGATTTAACCCAAGGTCAGCTGTATTACCAGGGTCCCTACTCTCGTGTTCAGCGGAAACTAGTCCTTCCGTAGTCATGAAATTAGCTGAAGGTTTTCAAAGGCATACTGTCTGCCGATTTTCCGTTTGCTTGGCTGAAGGCAGAATTACCTGTGCCAGAGTCTTCCTAATCACGCGAACTTGGTCGCTGCGTGGCCAGTGAATCAAGAGTACCCTGATAGGCTTTATCGTATTTTGTTATGCGTTCGAATGTGTTCGAAGTTTTTACACGGTAAGTTTTCAAATGAAAGTACGACGATTCCGTCCGTAGACGTTGACAGTATTTGTCGCATAACCAGAGCAACATCATCGTTTGCTGTTTTGTTTAATTTCGCCAGAAATTAATGCGCGATCTTAGACGTGCGCTTACGTAGACTAAAATACGTTACATATCGTCCTTACTGGCGTGAAATGCCTATTTTTCCAAATGGTAATCTGTTTGATTATGGGTGACTGTTAAGTTTTACTTACCGAATTTTGAAAGACGCATGTGACCAATTACACTGCTTAGCTTTTTGGTAGCACTCTTGTGAAAACATCATTTTTAAAAAAGCAACGACTGAAACACCCAATACTGCGTCAATGTCACGCAATAAAATAAAATAAGAATGTAGGGGGACACAAGTTTTTGTCTTCCTTTCCATTGACTCCTGTTTAACTTTTTTCGAAGGAAGCCGTGAGTCGTTTTCTTCTTGCGTTCTCTATGATGAATTTCCACTTTACACCACGTGCGGTTTCACGAATCCTGAATCATATTTATCAGGAAGGTTTCAGCGATAGTGTTTGCATCAAGCACCATTAACGGACGTCACATGTCCTCTGGCGCAAATAATCCTCACTTGGTTTGAGAACAATTTCCCAGCAGAAAAGTACTCGTACACGCTTCCACAGTCCACGTTTAAAAAATCGAGAGCTCCATTAACTCAGCGGGATCGGAAGGTTTTCTGAAATCGTAGGACATTGAACAGGTATTACATGCAACATAAGACGGGAATTTCGAAGTATGCAGGACGGTATCATGACTTTGAGACAGAAGCCAGTGTCTCTGTCGGCAAACACTTCCGCAATAGGAGATGAAGATGCGATAACTGCAACAAGAAATCTATTGGCTCGACGTTTCAGATTCTCACTTGAACCCATCATCAGAGACAGTCGCCGATAATGGTACTGGTAGCACAAGGTGTGCAGTATTTATAGCACGTGGCTGCCGTGGACCATGTGTGTACTGTAATTAACAGCTCGCACAATCACCCCTGTGGGTCGTAATTGATGCGATGATGGCTTGTCAGTCCGCGTCCGAGTCGTTAATTGCCGCGATTTCGTCATCCTTGTTGGATGATGTTTTGACGATTGCTCGACAAATTGGCTCACTGTCACTGGAATTATTGCCCGCCCGCGCTCTCCCCACGTGACTTGTTCCGCTGCTCAGGGGGAATCTCAGCAAGGAATAAAGTAACGGGAGGTAATTATGCTTGTTGATGGATTGCGGGCCTGAGAACCAGGACGCGAGCAGCTCGCGGCTCACGCAGTTGTCATGCCTTGCGAGGATTTCGGTCTCTTGAAATTTGAAAATATTGTCGGGTCCCGTCGAATGGGTCGCCATCTGAGACCTAGCGTCTCCCCGCCCCACTGCTGCCGCGTGTTCGGCTATTCGCGTCCAGAGTAATCCCCTAGTTTCTCCGATGTATTTGTTTTGTCCGCAACTACACCAGACCAGGTAAACGACTCCTGACGCTTCCTGCCGTGGCCGTAGGTCTTCCGGTCTCATGAATTGGCGCCTGATGGTTGCTTCCGGCCTGTGTGCAACCCCAACTCCAAGTGGAGTGAGAAGACGACTGACGGCTTCCGAGACGTTCTTCACGTACGGAAGAGCCCGCCAAAATTTGGGGCTAGTTGGATTTGGTCTCCGGTGTCGTTTTCTTATGCACTCTTTGACAAAGCTGTGCAGGTAGCCATTGGCTCTCAGTGCCCGTTGAAGGTATTGTAATGTAGGAACCGTGTCTTAGATTTCACTGCAGGGCGTCTCAACGCGTCGGTATAGCGCCCTTACGCAACTGCGTTTTTAACTGATCGGGTGGTTGCTATTGAAGTTCAGTTTTCCATCGTATTTATCGCTTTCATAAACACTTCGGTTTTTAAACCACCGCAATCTTTGCGGCAGACGAGGATAGCCTGGAAGGCCAGCTGGTTTTTTCTTTACTGACTGTTGATCACCATTCGACCCCCTTAATGCCTACAGACCCATAGCTGCTGGGCGAAGCGATAATGTCCTGTTCTTTTTGAAATTCAGAAGATATTGTCGCATGCCATTCTCGGGAGACAGAGTGTGTTCCTCGTCCGCCCCCCTCCCCCGCCTCCAACAAAGTTCTTGCTTCCCCAATCCAAAGCGGATCCGCATATTGAAATCCATATTTGCATCTTTTCATCGGCAAAATTCATAGTCAAGCTTGGCTTAAAATTAGATACGCAAGCTCTCTATTTTTTACCCCTTCAAAACTGAAGTAGTCCAATAAGGCAAACTAAATTTCGTCAAATTTAATAAGTCAGCCGTTAAATCATTTTGAGATTTTAAATTTAATTATGTAGCAGGGATCGAAGTGCTTCCCTTCTTCGCGACAGCAATACGGTTAAATAAGATTAGGGGAGAATGATTTGGTAGATGCGAATTACCCACTCACAAGTAGAGAGGTTTAAACGTTTTTTATTCTGATCGAAAGTGTTTTCTTTAAATACTTTTATTTTTTAAATATCTGCGTGTTGAAAATTCGGAATCGTCCTATATACATTTCTGAGGTACTCGGAACTCTCTAAAACTTTTTGGTGTGCCTTTTGCTGATTTTGTACATTAAAGGTAGATTGTTCAGGAGTTTCGAGAATTAAGTATAGCATTAATAAAGCAGATCTCAGTGATTCCGTAATAAGGGCAACTTTCGAAGCGAAACCTTGCAACCAACTCCAGTAATATCAACAATAAGCAAACTACGATGATCTTTGCTCACCCAAAGTAGCCTTTACTAACAACGCCTGTTTAGCTTGAATCCCGAACGCCATTTAAATCTCCATCCTCGTTAATGGGATTTTATGACAAAATAGGGACTATACACTAAGTCTGCTTCAGGCATTTGGTCATAGGAGTGGTAGGACCGGCGACTAAGTACCCTCCCAGCGTATTACTGTCGGTCTTGCGCTGAATCCAAGGGGGATTGGTTAGGACGCTGGAACAGGCGTCCTCTGGAACTCAGCACAGGCTCATCTGTTATACGAGGGCGCTACCTAATTACGTGTCTAACTAAATGAGTTTCATATTTCGCCCTTATAGAACATTTCTCGATTTCTGTTATAATACCATGCATCTCCTGCCGGAGTGACATATGCCAGTACTGTTCGGTTAGTTTGTCAAAACGCTTTCCATCAACAAAATGATAACGTAAATACTGCTCTCCCAAAAGTAATTACGCAGAATCCCGACTAAGCCTTATTTGAGGGCTGCGGAACCGACTTGTCAAATGATAGATAAATGAGTACACCTGGTACCTCATTGGTCGATTTTTTGTTCCTTGGTCAACAGACTTGAAAGTCATTTGGCTTGCGACGCACATGCATGTTTGACACGTCGATGAGAGGCCTGTTTCTTTAAAATAATACCAAACGAATCGTTGACATCTTCTACATTGAAGCAGAAATATCAGCAGTATCGAGCTTGCTTAGTCCCCCAGTTAGTAGTACGAAGCTGTTCTCCCACCGACGCAACCCAACCCCCGGGAAAGAATTCGCTAACGCTGGAAGCATTCTTTGCGTTACCTCCTTGAAAGAAGTGTGGTTGCATTTCAAAAAAATTGAGGAATTTGATCCTTTCTCCCTCCCTGATTAACCATAATCATAAGCAACAACTGAGCACGGGAATTTGGATCTCGTCCCCCCCTTTACAGGTGGCCGTACATCAAATTTCCGATGGATCCTGACTAGTGATGGCATTAGGGCTAGGGCTAGGAGACTGTGTGTTATCGTCAATGGTAAGGCCAGAGTCAAGGCGTGGGGATAGGTACCCTCCCTGGAATTTAACGCAAGGTCGCCTGCAATCTGAGGGTGTTCGCACTTTCGTGTCCAACCGAAACAATCAACTTTGCTTCTTGACATGCGGCTTCTGATTGTGAAAATCATATTAAGGTAGATGTCTCTGATTTGAAGGACGTTTATTTCACAAAATTGGTTACGTATTTGGCAGACGTCACTGGGGTTTGTTAGTAATTCTTCACCTAAGTCTGCCAGTGTTACCCTTGAACTGGACCTGGTAAGAATTCCCCATACGTGGTGGCTATTACAGAATGTCCAGGGCAGGGCTGGGTCTGCTCAGCCAACCACTGCTTGGTGACAGTGCAACAGAGGATTCTGTTTTTTGCATTGACAACATGCGCGGTTCCCTGGAAAGCCGACGTTATATTTTCCCAGAATCGTCCTTAGCCGCCCTCAAGCCTATACATTTCCGTCCTCCCCCATTTGAGAAATTAAACGGGGCTTTTATTTAATTTACTCATGACGTGGGTAATCTTGATCCTAACTTGACCCCTGGTTTTCTGTTCCATCGACTGGAAATTTGGTTGTGGCTTAGTTATCACCGACGCGGGCGGGGGAATTTCAGTCTGTAGAATGGTGCTGAAGTTCAAACTTTAATCCAGCTCCCAATTGTTGAGTTCAGTGACAATTCTAACATCGTTTTTGGTTCTTCTGATAAAGTAAAATTAAAAATCTATAGAAACCGCTACTCTAGCTCGCTTTTGAGAGAGGTTAGTTCTCCATCCTCTCTGTTCACTTACTGTGTGTAACTCGTCTTTCATGCTGGAGACCTCGAGTCTCCTTCACTATGACGTTTAATAAGTTTAAGGTCTTTAGCTCTTCGAAAGACATGGTTCGCGGTACCCTAAACTTCAGTCGTCACCGACAGGACAACGAGTCCTTTGTTCGATGGTTAAAGTGTTGGTCTTCTGGCCAACGGGTCACGAGTTCGACCTTCGAGGGTCGCATATCTCGAGGTTGAGTCTGACTGGCTGACGATGGCTAACAAGCCAGAAATGGCCATTCTGGTCTCCACTGTCTTTGTTGTAATGCTGTTCTGCCTATATTATGCGCCGCTCCGCGGCTACTGGCGGGTTCCAGAGAGAGAGCCCTAAGGCACAACGGGACGAGTGAGTTCTGTAATGCGATCGGTGCTCGCCCTTCTACTTGTTGCCATTTTTTTCTAATTTCATACTGACCAGTGTTAATTTTTTTTTAACGTAGAAAAATCATTGAATGATCATCCGAATTTTCCTCCTCCTTTATTTATGCTGTTTAGTGATGCTGAGCTTCCCATAAGGAAATAAAGCTCTCGCGTAAATTCTTTCAGAATTTCTGTTAACATTTTAGGCGATACGCCGGCTTATGTATCTCTGCCTTTTGAATTCAGATATAGGGAAAGATTTTACGGCAGTAAATATTAAAACAGCCGGACTAGGGGGTTTACTGTAGTGTCGAAAAGACCAAGTTCTCTTTTAATTTACCATTGATCGTTTTCTCGCATCTTCCTGAGTTGCCAAACATTTTTTCCGCCAATCTTCTCGACCGCGAATTAATCGACCCACTTGTGTTGATAGACTTTCGAAAACATAAAGAAATCGCTTTTTTCCGGCACTTGCCCAGGAGGAACCAAAACAGCAAACATGTGGGCAATGTCATGGTGTTTGCACCAGTCCACCAGGCAAAGCGGTACATGGGAGATAACATTTCTGCACTAATTCGAGAGTTCAACCTCCTTATATAAATTATACTTTAGATGGACAGATAGCTCCTATTCAAGGTGCTGGTAAGAAATGCTGCAGCCCGTCTACACCTAGAAGTTAAAACCTCCTTTTTAAGGCGATTAGTTTGTACGAAAAAAATAATCCTTTGTCTTTTGTAAAGGCTGATAATGGACCAACTAGTTACAGCTGAACAAATTTATTTGTTGACAGCAGAGATGTCCACCGTCGGTATTCGAAATAGTCATGTTTGTACTTGTGTTCTCGACTGATACTTTTCCTCCCCGCAAATTCGCTTGCCCCAAAGCACCACACAGTCCTTGCATAGAAAAGATCTTTCAGAAATCTAAGCAATGAGTATACCAGGGAGAAAAATGAACTTCAATAGACCTGGTCGCAATCGCCAGAGAATCTCCCTGTAGCTCAGATGGAGAGATTGAAAGACTAGACTTTCTGGGCGACCAACTCAATCTCAAGCCCTTAGACATGGAGTTGCGGTACAGCCAACCGATATTGATAGATAATCCAAAAATGATCACTCAAACGTGCTTTTTCGTTGACGCTTCGGAATTAAGTATAATTGCATAAAATCGGGCAAGTGGTCGTCCGCTAATTTTTTTGTTTTAAATTAACATACAAAGAGGATGAATGCTACGGAATTGCATAGGGTAAAAGAGTAGCAAGGAACCCAAATTCCTGACCCTACACCAAAGGCAGTGAGTCGCCTTAGCATATCTGCAAGAATGTGCTAATTTGCTATGCGGAAATTGAGTGAAACATTTTTCGCAGTGCATAGTAGCCTTGTCAACAGAATCCCCTTATCGTTGGTATGTAGCCTAAGGCATAATCAGAGACCTGTCTTCGTTTGGTCTTTTTGGCTGTCAGGTAGATGGAAGAAGTTTAAAATTGTCCTGGCCTGCCTGAAAAAATGACATCCTTTTGCCCTTTCAAATTGAGGTGTTTAAGCCTACTAAGGTTTCTGAACTTGTCTGAGGAAAGCAAGGGATTTTTCCGGTTGGAGCTGCGCTGGCAAAGGTTTCCTTTCTTTCTTTCTTTCTCTCTCTCTAAGAAAATCAGCATGTACGAGCATATGCTGACTCTTATTAAGGTCAGGTGTTTTTACGTCACAGAAGGGCGATTTAACCCCGTTTACTTCTCAGAAAGTGTAAGATTGAGTATGCGGAGCCTGTTTCATAAATGCATTTGCACAAGTAAACAGGAAAATATATATCGGTCATCGTGAATTGAGCATGACAACGCATTGTTCTCCTTCGGCAGGTAGGGTTGATTTATTTTAGCGTTGTCTTACCTAGGTCTCTTAAGCAGGGATAAGCTTGTGTATGTTTTATTACGATTTCCGTTCCGACTGCTTACAGGATCAGAATATTCCGGCTGAATTAATATTTCCCTAACTCCTGTAAAGGTTTAGCGGAAGCCTTACATCATCTGACCGATCACATGAAATGTTGGTCGAAATTCTGAAATGCTTTTTCGATAAGAAAGATTAACTAGTTATGTTTGTAGTGCTGATTATCATTCATCATAATCCTATAGTATTTCAGAATTTGTAGGATGTCGGCTTTTGAATATATTTCCTCTAGATTTCCTGCAGAACACTCACTCGGCAAAAAAATACCACATGTGTAGCATGCATTTTTCACATTAATTTCGATGTTTTTATGAATTCACGTATATTTTATAGAAAATGTGCACAAAATATGCCTTCTGTTGCTTATTTGGCAGAAAGTCACGTTTTCTTCATATTTTATACCTTAATAAAAGTTATCTTTCAGTTTGAAAAAGTTTCTAATTATGAGACCTTAAAGACCATGAAATGTCCATACACACAGTACCGCACATGTCCTTTTACTAATGCTCCTCATGAAAGTTACAACATAGTCCACATCCACTGCAATATTTTGTAGACTGTATATAGCATCCTCTTAAAGGCATAGAGAATATATGATTCTTCTTACGTGGAGGGCATACATCTTGTAGTCTGAAATCGCTAAACGTTTATGTAACCGCTTATTAGCCTCAAAATTGCTCAGGAATTGAAAAACATTTTCAAAACCTAAATATGCACTTTCTTCGAATATGAAATGTAGAAACAATTCAATTTTTCTGCTAAAATATAAGTGAAAGCATATTTTTGTGCATGTCTTCTATAAAATATATTTTAATTTATGAGAACATCAAAAATTAATGTGAAAAGTGCATGCTACTTATGTGGCCATTTTTAACGAGTGCGCTTCCTGTAGAAGGTCAAGAAGGAATGCACTTGAAAGTTGACATCCTGCGAGTCGAAATACTATAACATTTTATCGCATGTTAGTCAGCATTACGACCCTACATAATTAATCCTTCTTATCGAAAACGCATTTCAGAATTTCGGTCGACAATTCATGAAATCGGTCACGCACTGTCTGCAGTGAGCTCAGAGGCATATGCATCTGTGGCGCTAGCACGCTTCTATCGCTGAATTTTACGTAGAAAATTGCAAGATAAAACAAGTCCACTGGATCCATTTCGATCCCCGCATGACTTTTCGAACTCCCTCTCTCGTCCTATCGGACACCTGCAGTCAAGGAGATTGTCTATGTTGGCGGACTGCAAGGCATCTTTGAGTGCCCCTGTTCGACCTCCTCTACATTTTCTAGTTTGTTTTCTTGCCCCTAAGTCTACTGATTAAAGAGACGAACAGGACTGCTGTTTTTTTCAGAAGGCCCATCAGAGTACGCAAAGATAGTGTAGTCAGTTATTCACATTTCTACAATTAATGCAAACATGCTGTTAGTGTATTCTCACTGAACTCCTCCCGGCGGTGGTTCAGTGTATACTTGTCGTACTACATAATCTTTACTGAAATCCGGTTAATAGGGCGTTTGGGAGGAACGGAATCAAACAACAATTCCAGGCAGGTTCTCTCATTTTACCTCATTGATAAGCGAAAGACACTTAAAGACAGATGATCACTGATAAAAGTCTCTTCTGTTTTGAGGTTAACAAAGACGTCATCCGCAAGTTGTAACTTAATTTGCAATCCGCATTCTTAAACACAGATGACTCCACCTCACCCGACGACATGTCAGTTGAGACCTTCTATGATGGAATACCTTTGAGTGTGTTGTTAAATTGTAGTCAAACGTGATTTCTGCGGAAACTTCAAGTGTTGGGGACTAAGGGTACATTCACGACAGCAACATTCTTGTGTGCTCTGCGGCAAACTCCTGACAGGCAGAAGTCATTTAGAAATTCCCATGATCCAGTCCTTCAGCGGCTCTAAATATGCTGCTTACGGAACCTGTGTTCATGGGCTTACCATGAATTCCAAATTCACGATCGTGCATTTCATCGTCATATCTCCTCGTCTCCTCGTTTGCGTGATTTTACGGGCGCAACGCGGGCTTTTTGCACCTGCATCAGAACGGAAAATGAGCTCAAAAGCCGTGTCTGGAAAACTTGCTCTTTGTAGGACTTTACAGTTAAAACGTGTCGTGCAATTCTAACAGTTATTTCACACGGTTCGTCTGTCACATCAAAACTGCACGCAGCAAACGTGAGAATACTACAGATCTAGTGGAAAGTGACCAAACAGGTGGCCTCATCTATGAGCCAGTATGTCTAGACTGTAACACCGGTTACCTCAGACAAACCTGTCGCGACAGAAAGCCATACACCACCGAGCGCATGCATTTGTCGCAAAAGGCGTCAACTAACCGAAGAGAGGCAGAATAAAATTGCTGCGTCCTCCAGAATTGCGACGGATATTCGGGACACACAACATTAAATAGATCTTAAATGTTTGCTTTTGTTCTCACAAAGATGAGACTACTATCGTGAGTGCTGGGTATCCTGGAAGCTCAACCCTGCTAAGCCAAAGAACCGCTGCAAAGTTTTAAAGACTCATCCACACCCTGCCTGAATAGCCACTATCAAAATAACCTCTCAAGTTATTCCTTTTCAATCTTTTGAAATCCCCAAACGCTCCTTGTTGATATTTTCTCTTTTTGGTGTGCTTATCTTCCTTCCAGTTCGTATGTACACGCCCACAAACCCAGTGCCACAATGATTTTTCCGACTTTTTGTTTGAATTCATTCTGCCCAATCATGATTACAATGTACTGATCACTCGGCCTGACAGAGGTCAACCTCTATTGGGCGATGATTTTTCGTCTACTTATCTTGCGGTATTTTGTAAGAACTTTGTTTTTGGTTACCATTTTTGTCAGAATGGGTCCTTGCGGATCTTGAAACATAAACTTACATTTACGTGAAGTCCAATATCTGCTGTTTCAGTGACCTTACTCTCTAAGATATCCACTCATTCCCGACAAGTTGCTTTATCACATGCGATTTGGGGTGTCTCCTACGCCGGCATAAAAGAAATAAATTTAGTCTACTCAGGGAAATTGCATTCTGACTAGTTCATAAATCCTAAAGATATATTAGGATTAGCCTGTTTGCTCATATAATATTCAAACAAAATCTTGACAAACAAGAAGATCGGTAAAAACGAAGAACGAAATTGAAATACATAAATTCGTTCTGGCAAAGGTTTTTTTAAAAAATTTAATTACGGTGACGGAATACATGGTACATGATTACTGGGTAATGGAATCCTCTGCGTTGGACTTCAAGCATAATGCCGATCGAGCATTTTTCCTTTGCTGATTCTCCTCGAAGGAAACTCGTTCCCAGCGTTATTTCCTTTGCAAGTAATCGCATCGCAAAGGTCTCAACTTGCTCTCGGCGCAGTTGTGCGCTGTCTACAGTACTGAAAATTGCACCCCATCTTCCGTTTCCCAGATTAGTGGTTTGAGAACCGCGTCATAGCTGGTCATCCTACGCGATAGGCCAAAAGCGCGCCTGTAACCTCTTTTACCATTTCACTTACCTTTTTGGTCGAGAAAAGAAATATGGGTTCTGTTTTTGCATTTAACCTCTCGGAAATACCATGCCGAATTGGCCACCTGAATCATAAACATGCCATTCGATAAAGAATAAACAAAAAATACCGATCGTTTGACGCTGATTCTGTAAATCCTAGCCAACGATATCGGTTCGACCTCCGGGGATGACGACATCCACAGTGTACCCCACAGCATTGTCTGTGCATAACAGTGCTTGTGCGTGAATCAGGTCATAGTGGAGGTTGACTTGCGCTGCATCTGTCGTACTCTACATTGGCAAGACTGAATCCAGACGACCGAAGGTGGGCGCGGGCGCAGTGCCTGGGGAGGTACAGCTGCCTGTTTACACGTGCTACACGCGACCTGGTCCCTGTTCTATCTGGCGGGCTTCTGGAAGCGCAGCCGGGCACTGCAGAGGCTATTGTTTATGAGGATCTCTTAAGCATTGCCGTTAAAGGTAATCCGAAAAAAATGATCTTTCCATTGTGGTGAACTTTTAGGCTCCCACTGCTTCGGTTTGTCGATATCACACGGAGCGGGATTATGCTAAGGAAATATCCGAAAAAGCCCTCGAAGCTAGTAGTGCAGTTTCATATAAAACTGTTATAGGCAGAATGTTATTAAAAAACAAAGACAAGAGGGACTGGAATGACCATTTCTGGCCTATTAGCCGTCGTCAGCCAGTCATACACAACCCCAAGATGTGGAACGCCTGGGGCTTTAACTCGCGACCTGTAAGTTAGAAGTTCAACGCATCTAGCCATTGATTCACGGGCTCCCTGTCCTGTCGGTTTCTATGGGGAATATGGAATGGTGAAGAGGTGCTCACCTATCGTTTCTACGGAACTCACTCGTCCCGTTGTGCCTTACTGGCACTCTCTCAAGCCCAACCAGCAGCCGCACAGCCGCGCATGATATAGGCCGAATGTTATTGCCGACGAAATCAAAGGAGACTGGAATGACCATTTCTGACTTATTAGACGTTTTCAGCCAGTTATACCCAACCCAGAAATGCTCTATTTTAGTCGTTAACTCGCAGGACAAAGGCTTGCTTTTACAGTAGGTGGGCTAACTCATGAATTGTCAACTGTAATTCCAAAATGCGCTTTCGTTTCGAAAAGATTAATAAAGTAGTGTTGTAAAAATAACCAGTCTGCAGTATAGTTATATAGTAATTCAGTTACATTAGAATGCCGGCTTCCAAAAGAACTTCTTTCCGGCTGCGGGCAAACATTACGCTCTGCAAAAATGACTACTCAGGGACCCTGAAGTATTCTCATTGATTTTCGGTGCCCATAAAAAAACGAATTATATTTTATGAAAAACATGCATAAAAATATTTATGTTTTACTCATTCGGGAGAAAATTACGTCTTCTTTTAATTTTATACTCGAAGGAGAAACATAACTCGGTTTTGAAAAAGTTTCTAAATGTGAGACTTTTTAATACCGTTAAATGGCCGTTCATTAAAGTGTCATTTCTCTGAATTTACCAATGTGGCTTATGATGTTGCCGATATGGATCAAATCCAATGCTAAAGTTTAGGAATCCCATATGATCTCCTTTTAATACCGTAGAGAAATGTATAGTTTTTCGTACGCGGAAAGTACATGGCTTGTAGTTTGTAAACACTGAATGCAAGTATGAAGGCAGAACGGGTTCAGAATTATTCGGGAATTTGAAAAGTTTTTTAAAACTAAATAATACCCTTCTTTCGAGTAAAAAATTGGAAGCAGACGTAAGTTTCAACCGAATGAGCGGAAGGATGAATATTATATGCATATTTTCCATGAAATATAACTGGACTTTTAGAGGCATCGGAAATCAATGAGAAAAATGCATGCTACTTAAGCAGTCATTTTTTTACAAAGTATGGTTTTTGCATGCAGCCGGAAAGACGTTCTTTCGAAAGCCGGCATTCTGAGGTAACTAAATTATTGCAGAATTATACTACAGGCTGATATGTTTTACAACTCTACTTAAATAATCTTTCCGAAACGGAAACGCATTTCGGAATTTCGGTTGACATTTCATGAGTTAGTCCCCCTACTGTACAAAAAATAATGTTTTTTGTTATATTTTGTACACAAGTCTAATTTTCTATATGAAACAACTTGGTATTGTGAAAGTCATTGTAAAGGACGATAAGACGGTCTCAGGCATTAGGGTAGATTTTATTTGGCTTTTCTGCGCCAAAGATTTCTGTGCAAAAGTGAGCAGCGTTTGTTGGTATTTCGTCGTAGTAATGCAATTAGGCAATTAGAAACGTTGCCTCACGACTTTGTCTTCCGTTATGCAATGCCCGAACGATTATTTCGGTAGGTGGTCATTAAAAAGCCCACAAACTGCCATTTCAACGCGAAAAGGAGCACGTGGTTCCAAAAACGACCCACATGCAGCTTCATGTGTCCTCCCACCCAACTGTGCGCCACCCTTTCCGTTGGTAAGCCGAATAGGTGACCTTGCAGATGAAATAGAGCCTAGCTCGCATTCAAAATTACGCATTAACTCTACAGAAAGGATGTCTCATATTTTCACACGCAGGCGATATTTGCCAGGCAGGACTAGAATCACGTCAAGCCGGCGAAGCCCACAAAGGTCGCTGTGACAACTCGGGTATGTGGGGGGGGGGGGAGGAGAGTGTTAGCGAAAGCCCCAGACACGACGTGAGCCCGGCAGTCGGCTGTTTTTTTTCGATTGCACTGGTTAGTGGACTTTTTGTTCTCCTGTGTGGTCATTTAAAAGAAGAGAAGGTTGTGTAGAAATCAGAGGAAAACTTCACCTCGAGGGGTGTAATTGTTGCCTGGTCTTCCAGATAGCGAACTTGGCTACATATCTTCAAACGAACAGATATGAGGCTCGTTGGAGGATGTTATAGGTCGATGGACATCTACAAGCATTCAATGAGAGAATTCAAAAACTCCAAAGCCATGGCGGGACAATCCGTAAATCACAAATCATGCGCAGATCACTCATGCCACTGCATGGGACTTGTCTTGGAGTCGGACGCACGGCTTCATTGACAGACAATACATCCAGAGGATCTCATTCTTAGGGCGAGAATCCTCGTGCTGTGGACGGACCGACGGCTGTGACGAGAGCGCATCGCATTAAATGGAGGGTTGGGAGTATAATTAGGACGTCAACGGGGACAAACTTTGCCGTCCAGACAAGGCAAAGTCAATATTTACCCACAGTCAGGATAATGAATAGGAGCAGAGAACAAGCGACCTGACACATTCATGTGATCAGACTGCCAAGCAACTACTTGGTCAATCGTCACGCCGACCTGCCCGCAGCGTCCGCAGCGTTGTCTTGGTACTAAAGAAACGCGAGACCTGCGGACATTTGACCTTCAATTACCACAATTGAAGACAAGGTAAAGCGCTTACCGGGATGACCTACCAGGAAGGTATGACTCATCTACGGCAGAGTCGGGCGTGCGACCTGCGCGCTCACAAAGCTAGTCGTTTACGCGACCCATTAATTTCTGAAGAAGACTGGCGGACTACAATAGTTCGACCGTCGTTGATGACGATGTCCACCGTGTGCTCTACAGCAAAGCGAAGCAGGCACGGTGACTTGCGCGTGAATTAATTTAAAATGATGGTAGACTTGCGCGGCATCTACCGCACTCTTTCTCCCCCACTTTCCACCTGGACCCGGTGTCGAGAGAGACTCAAGAAGACCGGGCGCGCGGGAGGCACAGGTGGATGACACGGGGGAGCCTGCACCTTGGCGCCCCACTCCACAGTGCCTGGTACACACAGCAAATGACCAGGTTTTCACAAACAACAACAACAATGGGGGACGGGGCGACAGGGGTCCCAATATGCGCGTCGTCTGCCGGCAGTGGGTCTGCCGACGCACATTTGCTATGATGCGCATTCCGATAACGCCTGTAAGAATTCGATATGGTTCCCGAGTTGGTCCAGTGCATCTACCACGTAGTCCGTTTTGGGGACTATGATACACGCCGCCTCGTACACACGCCCTTTCTTGTGGTATGATTTCTGGAAGTCCCGCTTTCAGTACACTGAATAAAACTAGAAGCTCGATGTAGGCCAGCCATGTGCTATTTCGGCAGCTGATTTCAGAAATCTAATCTTTGTTTTTTACGGTCCTTTCAGGCCTAACGTGTGCAGAATCAGAGAGACTTCCTATGTGGACGTCTGGGAGCTCACGAGTGTGCCCTTCGAAAGAGAGGTTCCCCGCCTGCAAGAGAACTGCGGAGGGCCGGGCAACCGGTGCCTAGTGAAGGAATTGAAGTAAGTCGTAATCCTCCTTCCACAACCATTTTTCCCCTCATATGGCATAAAACCTGCTATAACTCAAGGAAAGCCGACGCGGCTTTAAACAACAAACGAAGAAAAATTCCAGTCGGTAAACTTGTGTCATTGGACAGGGGGATTCAACCACCTACGTAACTCTGCATCGCCTCAAAATGGACGCAGAAAGGCCACCATAGCAAAGTTAAGCTGATGATAACCGAACGAAATCAGCCAGAGAACTCAGAGGTAGTGTTTATGGATTCAATCAGATTTCAGTGCAGGATAGATGCTTTCGATAAAAGTGCAGATGCGAGTTCCAGGAACCAGTTGCTAAGAGGTGGAGTCGATCGTTGGAACAAGAGCTTTATTCGCCTGAAGTTTCGGAGTCACGCTCGAACCTATCATCATAGACAGTGACAGATACTGATGATTCGTGCACAAGACGTTGGATCATTTATATGATGCAGTCGCTACGCTACTGCATACCTATGATAATTAACCGTCCTCCCTTTCATTGAGGATTGTTGCCTCCTGGTGCGTTTATTGCTCGACAGCCGACATGAAAGATGCTAATTGTTGAAATCTCATCATCCGTATTGAAGTTTGCCGTGATGATTGCTCGGCCATCTGGTTCACCGACCTGCCCGCTCACCGAGTGGTTAAATAAGTTGGCCAGCCCATGCCTCACCACGGAATATGGAGTGGGGATGTCGTTGCACTTGTCGATAGACTGAGGTCCCGTGAACCATGGCTCAAGCAACTCGCGACCCACACCATTATTCCCCCTCGAGAGAATTTCGACCTCATCGAACTGGAAGGTGTGACCGGGTCTCGTCGAATGGGCCGCGACTTGAGACTTGGCGTCATTTCTCCGCACTGCTGCCGCGTGTTCGGCGATTCGCGTCCGAAACAGTCTTCGTTGCGGAGTCCGCGAATCTCTACTTGACAATGACGGAACTGGCAAGTTCGTGTACCTTTGCCGGCACTACTTATTGATTACTGCCTGGCAGTCAGTAAGAGTCATGATTTGGAAGGTTGGCAACTGACTCGACAACTCAATCAGTAATGTGTACGTGGGAGCGACCGGCTCGAGGACCGAGAATTAGGTCCAATGGTTCCTTCCTGATCTGCTTCCCACGGCACTCCCATTAACGTGGACCCCGAGCCCCCCTTCTTCTCCGAAATCCCGATGCATTATTTGGGGGGCAGGTCGTGTGCGGCACGCGTAGACGAGTTGTTTAGCTTTGTCAACCACGGCGCTCGGGCCCGTCTTCGGTCGTTCTGACACTGTCTTGTCCCCAGAGTCAGGTTGGTGGGGGTGGAGAGAGGACAGTAAGCGCACCGCGAATCTGCCTCGGGATACACTTGTGCGCAAGTCACGAGTGCTGCGTCCACTGACTGCCAGGTGGCTAGCAGTCAGTAGGAGTCGTGATTTGGAGGGTTGGCAACGGGCTCGATAACTCAGTCAGTAATGTGTACGTGAGAGCGACCGGCTCGAGGACCAAGAATTGGGTCCAATGGTTCCTTCCTGATCTGGTCCCCACGGCACTCACACTAACGTGAAATCCGAGCTTCCCTACTTCTCCGAGGGAGGAGAGGTGCGACAGACGCTGCACAAGTCTGTCTCATTATAAACTATTTCACACACAAGGCGCAGGTGCTCCGCTCACTCCTTGGGACACACAGTGGACGTCATCATTTGAGATGGCCGCGTCTTCACAGACACTATCCGACTGCCCACAGAACATCAAGAAATGTAGGACCGTTTTCGTCCTGTAACTAAGGCAGATCAGTGAATGCTAAACCCTCGGTACTGGGAATAATCCTCCCCGCAGTCGTCAAACCATGAGCTCGTGATCACACAGTCAACGGGGTTAATTTTAATTAAAAATTGGGACTCAGCTGGTGGCCCGGACTTCGGGTAATAGCCGCTTATGAAAGACATTAGGCATAAGACTAAATAGCCATCATAATGTGAAGCCTGAACGGCGTTTCATATTAACCACCGAGGAGAACATGTCGTTGAGGGTTTTCTCTGATTGACTTAAAACCTGGTTTTCGACCCCGTTAAGACATCCCAGAACAACAGTTTTTTGAGGACTTATTATCATCAGCCAACATGCTGTGTAGACTGAGGGTGTACCGAAAGCCGCGACTGTCCACCCTGAGTAGGGGAATCCAAGAAGTCTTGATAAGCTCTCATTACCATAAAGTCTGGTTGTGTATCTACCTTCAGGAGTTTCTCCGCCAGAAGCTATCAAATGGTGAAGAAGCCGGTGACGAAGGAGAGACTGGTTTGCTGTGCAAACTTCAGACGGGTCCCCGGCTTTGATGGCTGTGTACCAGGTAGGGTTTTATTCCATTTACTGATCGATTCTGTAAGTTTGACTTGATTGGAAAACCTGAGCAAACAGCACCAAAATGCATTACATCTGCTGGCAGGCGGATGTCACAGCACTAGGCGAGAAATGATATATTTAATTATGAAAAAGATGCGATTCGTGCTATAGGTTAGTCAAACGGTATGGAAAAAAATAAAAAATAGCAAGTGAAGTAAGCTTTGCAAAATATCATCCCAATTTTTTTCAAAAAATACAAGGTTAAACAGCGTAACCACACATTGAAATCAAAAGGAATCTCGTTGGTCTGTGGCCCACGTTATGGTTGGTTGATGTGTCCTGACGTACAAGTGACTGAATTTTTCCTTCTGCCTGGACCTCTTTTGGTTCTGCTCGTCGATTTGCTTGCTACACGAGTCCAAAAAGTGCATATCTTAAGCTCCACTTACCTCCATCACCACCATCTGCCTTATTCCTTTTGTTCCTCTCCCTCTCCTTTTTTTTATTCTTCCTCTTCCTCGTCTTATTCCTATTCTTATCTTTGTCACCACCACCACCACCACCACCACCACCACCACCACCAGCACCGCCACCACCACCACCACCAGCACCACCACCACCACTCGCTTGATGAGCCTGGATGTTATCGTACTCTGGCAGACTAAGCGCCGCTGTTCGGGGGCTCAAATTAATGCGTAGGAGCAATTTTTGAAATCGGCCCTGGAAAGCGCACTTTTCTCACTGTTTCGGGTCGAATCTTAGAAATGCTAAATGGTTTATCTGAAAAGACGTAGGTAAGAGGAGGAGCCAATGTCGATGAGGGTGCCGGGAGTGTGTGTCGCGTCTGCACATTTGAGAGGGGAAGGGGTGAGAGAGGGTTATGAAAAGTGGACCGTGAGATGGCGTTGACAATCTTGTCATAGGGGGAGGCGTTCGTTGTTTGGTAGATATCCCCGAGTGTCAGTTATCAGGGAATTCAGTATCCACTTTTACCATGGAAGCTCTTTCCAGACTTGCATTTACTGCCTTCATTGCGCTGTCCTAGTAACTTCGGTTGGTTCACTTGCATTATATTCTCATTTAAAAAACATCTCTGACGCCCACTAGGTTGGACAGTTCAGAAATTGAGATAGACACTGAGGAGACTTATCCAAACCAAACAGAGCGGTATTCGTGTATCCTTTCGGCGATTCACCTCGTCATTTGAGTCCAGGGTCCGCCCAACAAGAACAAAGGTCAGCATGTATACATTCACGGCGATGGGGTATGGGGAAATGATATGCCTTCTTGCACAACCGAGAAGTCTTTAAGACTGTTAGTCATTTTAAACGGTCAACACGTGTCAGGGGATACGTCCAAGGCTGAATTTTTGCAAACAAGATGACCGAATTAAGGCCTGAGATCCTGTCAACTGAGGATGACTACGATCTTCGCTAGCAACTGAGCATGAGCTGTGCAGTTAGGGATGTGTCGAGGTATAGTCTAGTATTCCTAGTCTGTAACAGCCCGGAAACAGCTCGCAAAAGGACGCCACAGATTATCCTTAATGCTTTAGTTTTCTGACTACCCCCCATCATACAAAGTCAGACGGGTAATTCGTCAAAAGACGTGCCGATTTCCACAATGACTGTTTAGGTCACACTGTTAAATGGCGTCTGGAAGTGATGGGCGTTGTTTGTGAATTGTATTCCTAACAAGCAGGGCTCGTTCTCAAGTACACATATCTGGCCTCGAGAACGTGTAAGCAGCCGTAATAAGATCTCCACCTTTTACTTTTGAAACGTTGATGGACATTAGAATTGAAAGCTTTTGCAGTTTAGAAGCCCACACGAGCGTTTATGTTGAGATGCGCAACATGTGTACCTTTTTTTCTTCCGACACGTTTTAGACCACTGGTAGTTGGGGAAGGCGTTTGAGTAAAGATTCACCAACTGTCTGTTGTTTTATTAGTCTAAATCACGTACTGCTTGGCAGAAATGCGCACCTACGCTAAGCATAGTTAGCTTTTCCGTATAAAATACGGATATCAAGGACACATGTTGAAGAACATCGTTCCGTTCGTGACAAAAATCCTAACAGTTACAGTTATTCCCGTTGTTCTTATGGGGTTTTGTTCTAAGGCACGCATGCTGTCGCGTTTCGAAAAAAGTGCTTATGTCTTCATGCGTTGCCAACCTACGTACATCCGTAGCTCTAGTCTAATTGCTAAGCAGAGTTTAACATGCCGATTGTTTTTTCCTATTGTAGGCGAAGTAAGGAGCATGATGACAGTTTCTGCATTACTGAGGCGTTCTACATGCCCTTAAATGTACCCCGATCATAGAGAAAGACCAGTTATGTGGGGAAGGGGGAACCGAACTCAGTTTCGACGTCGTCTGCAATCAGTCAACCCCTCGGAAAAAAATGTCGGATGTGGTTATGTAAACCCACCTGAAGTAAACAAACCCCAGGCGCCTGTAGTACGGAACCGGTGGTAAGAGGGGTTTTTAAAGATGGGGCCGGGGGACGCACAGACGACGAGGTCAAGAAGTTGTATGTAGAAGAAAAGCTATTGGGAATGCGCGGTCGTACTTTGAGTGGTTGAGAAATAGTTGCCCTAAGACCTAACCCTTAACCCTAACCCCTAACTTCAACTCCTAACTCTAACCACCAACCCTAACCCCTAGCCCTAATCCCAAACATAACCATAGCCCTTAACCATAACCCCTAACCCCAAACCTAACAGTATTGCGTCCATCAGGTGGGGTTACATAACTACATCTTACCGAAAATAAATACTGATGAGTGACCGTCGTCAGGCGAAAAGTACTCTCTACCCAAAAACTTTCTACACTCCCTGTCCTAATGACGCATCAAAGAGAGCGAATTTACAAATCCGGAGTGAGCTTTGCCTCAATGCGTCTAAAGGGCCAAAATTGTGCTTGTTTGGGTAAACTGAAGCGGTTAAAAGTGCTCAAGGGTGTCCTTGGAGTAAGGTATGGAAATCAGGCTACTGTCCCGGGGGTTTGGCGTCTATATGCCCTCTACATTGACCTTATCGGCGATTTGAAGCCGCCCCCGGCATTTGCATCGTCCATCGGCGTTCCGTGCTGACGAAAGTGCGCACCTGCACTTTATCGGTAGCTCGCCTTATCCATCTCTCTAGCTCTGTCTAGTGAGGTCACAACGAAGCCCTCGAACGCTGGTCAGTTAAGAGCGGAAAGCCAGCAAAGATGCAGACCCGCGAGCAAATGCGCAACTCCTTGCGCCTAGAACAGTAAACGGAGAAGTAAAGTGGGGTTAGGAAGTAGTCCGTAACCTGCTGACCATATCCCATTACTCCAATATGATCACTCCCACGCAGTTGCCAAAATACCACCAAACAATTAGTAGAAAGAAACAACCTCCAATGGGTTCTTCAGGCGTCCCGCTCCGATCATTCGCCTGTAGCTTAAAATAACAACTGCCACCTCACCCCCATCCCTAATGACAGACTACAGTGGGCTTCTGACTCATCAGGTCAAACGTTTCCAGTCACTTCATGAGAATTCTGGAACGACTTCATTTCTGCCTCACGGAGTCATCACTGTGCTAGCTGACGGCCTGTTCTGTGTCGATGATCTTCCCATGCAGACGACTTAGTCCTAAAATGGAGCACAAAACACTTGCGGTCGCAATGAGCTCTCACACCTATCCATCACAGTCAGCGTATGAATTTATGGACTCAACCAAAGTTTAAGAAGTCAGTAACACTTTGTAATCTGCTGCTTTGGATAGTCTTAGCGGTAGTCTTGGTCACACTGCTGCATGACCTGATGAATTGCTACTTTCTAAAATGAGTACTTAATGTTGCATCAAAACGGCAAAAACCAGTATGCGTTATTTGTGCGAAGGCACAAGTGGCTTCACGCTCTTAAGATGCATACATGTTTTTTTTCTATCTTTTAATGACTCCAAAGAATCAAACTGTGATGTAATGCTGAAGACAACGCAATGCTTCAACAACGGCATTTGTTACCGAGAAGGCGGAAGGACGGGTTGTAGATGTCCACGCGGGTTTTCCGGTCCTCGATGCGAATACGGTTAGTTTGAATTCGCTGTCAGTCACTTAAGCTCACGCATGTGACAAAACCCACAGCATTCATGTCACCGACGTTTATTCTCAAGACCAACTGAGATAGTGGAAAGGTCTTCATAAAACTGTTCTTACATAATAGCTGTGTAAGACATTTTAGGGGTTTTTAAATTAGATATGCCATCACTGGACAATATTTTGTTCAAAAAGAACAAAGTTAGAAGAGTCGACCGATAGATCATTTTAGATTTATACATGTTAATAATTATAAAGTTTTGTTTTTTTACCATTATGGTCATGTCAGTGGGCTTACTTAAATCGGAAATTTTGCAAGTTGGTAAGTCCACTCTTGCACCAGTGGGAATTTCCAAACAGGATGCTCTATTCTCGATAGCTCTGCCATTTTCAAGAAGATTCTGCGCCCAAGATTACACAGACTTGCTTCTTTAAAAAAATCGAAAAAGTGATGCTGGATTTTTGAAGTCTAACCTTGTGTTCACATTAAAATCCTTTGTGGCGGAAAATTTCCATCAGTCATTTAAAAGAGGGGAAGCTTACGTTCCCCTGAGTGCAGATTCCCCTGCCTCAACCTCCAGAACGAGCTACTACCTGCAGTAGAAAAGCTATGTACTCATAAAGGCACTCTGGTCTATCAACTTTACTCCGGTACACGTACTCGCAAGAAGTCCGGATGTATGTTTTGCGAATGCGCACCACTGTATGAGACGACTGCGAGGGATTCGACTCGACGGGGTCCCGTAGGGTTCCCCACGTAGCCCATAGCATGCGAATACCCCAATTTTTCATTAATGAGCTTTTTTTTATTTCGCTGTGTATGAACTTCTGGCCAAAATGTCATAACACAGGCCTCCCATTTGTCATATCTCTCCCTCTCACTGTTACAATAGCCCCTACTTGTCGCGCAATGAATAGCGTCCCCACCTCACGGAATGTTGCTTTTCACATGTTTAAATGTTGAAAAACCTCAACCCTCTTTCTGTCGCTATTTTTGTGCGCGTGTGTGTTTTATGTCTCCTCAGATGTGGACGAATGCCGCAACGGGAACGGTGGATGTGAGGGCGAATGTTGCAATATGCCCGGGGGCCATTATTGTCGCTGTCCTCCTGGCTTTCGGCTTTCTGAAGATCAACGTCGTTGTCTTGGTAACTGACTGCTCTTTTTACCCTTCACTCACGACATGTGGGACAATTGTGGACGAGTGTACTATGCCGCAGAGCGCACACGGTGCTGACAATACGTCTCCCGCATCAGGGGAGGGGGTGTGCATTTCGTTTAAATCCGCTCTCTTGCATAAATAGTAGCAAACGGTCGGAGTTAACCCACCTTTAATTAAGAAAGGCAGATGAAGTTTGGGTGTAGAGATGAATAAAGGGATTTTGGGCGTGAATAAGAGCACGCTATACTTGGAGTAAGCATACTTTAGGGATTACTCTTTTAATTGTGCAGGCTGCATTATTCCAACCGGCTCGCCCATCCTCTTACTTCTAGCAAGTCGTGATCAAAATTGGAGAAAATCGCAGCACCAGAACGGATTGAACTGCCAGTTTTGTGACGTTTACCCTGCCTCGAAGTTCTAAAGATCTTGTCCGCCGGCTCGGCTATTGATTTATGTTCTTTTATCGTCCGTAAACATCACACTTAAAAAAATAATGCTTACGTAAGTTGCATTTTTGCTCGACTTTCTATATTTTTCTAAAGCAATTGTCTTCAAAGATCTGAATTATGGGATTTACAGGACCTTGGAATTCCTGTCCAAATAGCATCAAGTCCGTCCGTTTATAAATGCTGCCTGGGGAGTGTAAAATATGGTTCATATATATTGCAAAATTTTGCAAGCCTTTTTGGTTCCTTTCTAATAGCGGGAACGAGTTATCATGTTCCTCAAGCGAAAAATGCACAGCTTGTAGTTCGGAAACGCAAGACATAGGTGCCATGAAAAGTCGAGATCGAAACAACCTGAGATTGCAGAAATGTCAATTAAAAATGAAGAGTGCCGTTTCATCAGATGAACAACTTTAGGAAGACGTGATTTACCGAAAAATGAGTTTGGATTTATGAGGACATGTGAAATCAATAGAAGAATGCACACCACATGCATTTTGGCGGGTGTGACTTTTGCAGCCGATCGAGAAGACATTCATTCAAAATTCATATTGACCCAACTGTGAAAAACTCGGCGCCGACGTTTTAGCGCGGCTGAAATATTTTGAGATTTTGCTGCACGGCAGTCAGTAGTTCAGCCTCACCTAAACAAGCCTTTTTATTTAAAATGTATTCGAGAATTTCAAGGTTTCATGAGGTACGTCACGCATAGTATTCATATAAATGATGGACGCGGAATACATGCGAGATGTCATGCGGCCCCGGGACATACAGATCTTTCAGACCGCATCCTAGGCTCTCACTGCGAGCAAAATGTGGGGACTGGCTACTTTTGCGGGACAAAAATCCACTGCGAAATCGGTAGGTGTCGGTGACTAGCTGTTGTCTGGTTTCGAGAATACAGTAGTTGGGCTAGCTCATGAAATGTCAACCGAAATTCCGAAATGTGTTCTCTTTCCGAGAAGATTGATTAAGTAGGGTTGTAAAACTAATTTTCATGCAGCATAATTTTATAATAATTCACTTACCTCAGGATGCCCGCATTCGAAAGAACTTCATTTCGGTTTCAGACAAAGATAAATTCTGTAAAAATGCCTACTTACGTAGCATGCATTTTTTTCATCGATTTTCGATGTTCTTATCAAGTCAAATGTAGTTCGTGGCAAACATGCATAAAAATATTCATTCTCCTGCTCATTCGGTAGAAAATGACGTCTTCTTATTTATATTCAAAGGAAGAGTATAATTCGGTTTTTAAAAAGGTTTCCAATTCCCGAGTAATTTTGAACTCGGTCTGCTGTTACACCTGCATTTAGGGTTTCCAACCTACAAGCCGTATATTTTCTGCCCACGGAAACTCATACATTTCTCTACGGTATTAAGTGGAGATCATATGGAGTTCATAAAATTTGGCAGTAGATTTGAACCATATTGTTGGCTTTACAAGCCACAGTGGTAAATTCAGACACGACTTTTTATTAACAGCCATTTCACGGTATAAAAAAATATCACAATAAGAAACGTTGTAAACACTTCCTTTGAGTACAAAATTGAAAGAAGACGTCATTTTCTACCGAATGGGCAGGAGAATGGATATTTTTATGTATGCTTTCCAAGAAATATGTTCGAATTGATAAGTGCATCGAAAATCAATGAGAAATATGCATTTTACATAAGCAGGCACTTTTGCACAGAATGTTTTTTGCGTGCAATCCGAAAGAAGTTCTTTCGAATGTCGGCATCCTGCGGTAACTGAATTATTATAGAATTATGCCGCATGAGGATTAGTTTTACAGCCCCACTTAATTAATCTTTTTGGAACGAGAACGCATTTCGGAATTTCGGTTGGCATTTCATGAATTACTCCACCTACTGTATTCTCGTTTTCTAAAAGTCCGTTCCAACCAAGAAATCTCGAACTAGTTTTTGCTTATATAATCCTAGCGTATCCGCTAAGAACCCCCATGTATTGCCAATCGAAGCCACTTCTGATAGTTGTGAAGCAGGACCTCTTTCGTTTCAACCCTAGAGCAGATAAGCAACGGCCGAATTCCGGCCTTTAGGGTATGCGAGTACTCATGAGAAATGCAATAATGCTTTTAACTAGGACACATTTTTGACGGGACTTTCTGTGCTGACAAGCTTAGCACATAAGTCCAAGTTGGCACATTCAACACTTTATGGGGACTTTCCTGATAAACGTCCCTTTCATACGCCAATGCTTATTTAGGTAGCATGCCACCTCAGCAATATATTTTAAAATAACCAAATAATCGTTGTTTTGTGAAAAATAATGCTTTCATGATATATAAGATCTGTAAATGTACATTCCTGTCTACTTAAGTGTTGTTTAACGCACTGTGCATTTTGCACCTGTTTTACAACCACACATGCCGCAGGCGTCTTAGAGATAATTCATGTGATGCTTCCTATTACTATAAAAATCCACATTGGGACACATTATGAGTTTCGTAGGCAAGTCTACGGACTCTCCCTTGTTAGACTAAACAAATATTGTCAAACGAAAGTCTCAAAGCATTATATTTGCTACTTTTCTATCACAACGCAGTCGTCATTTGTGTACTGAATTTGATTGCGAAGTAGTGTCTACTTGAAACTCTACATCGCGAAGTATTTTTATTGTGAAAGTTCTGATGCGTCTGCAGAGATGAAAGGAGGTCACACTGAACGAGATGTAAGTGGTCTGAATCCTCTATAGACCCCTGAAGTAGGGTTTATAAGAAGTGGTGTTAGGACAAGTGTCAGCCTACGTTTGATGACTGACCGGTTTGGACAGTGAACTGGGGCTTAGGAGAAGGAGGAGCGTGTCAGGTCAACTCTGAGGACTGCCTCTCGCGACATTTCAGCTCATATCCCTTCACTACAACCTATGTGACTCGCCTGATTAAATCACGATGCGCTAAAAGACATGGTTTAGCAGGCTGCTGACCTATGAAATAACTCGGCCCTCCTTTTAGGACGGAAGGTCGAGCAGCAGTGGTTCCTTCTTAATGTGAACTCTACGACGCTCCCACTTAGCTGGGGTCCGAGTCGTCCCAGTCTGTTGTTGCCATGGCAACCTGGTCTGTTATGCGCGGAAAAAGCGCGCGTGATACGCGCAGACGAGCCAACTAACTTTGTCGGCAACTGCGTCCGATCACGTCTCCGGTCTTCTTGACTCTGCTATAGTACCGGGTCTAGGTTGTTGAGTGAGAGCGCGGTAGACGCTGCGCAAGTCTATCACTATGAGCTAAGTTGCGTACACGTCACTGCCTTGCACCCGCCATTTTCTGGGACACGCCGTGGACATAGTCATATGCGAATACTGAACTGTCAGGCCAAAACTCCTACCCCTTGAACTACCGGACTCTTTTCCTTAAAAGTGACATGAGAACGACGTCGTTCAATCTATCCTGGTTGCAAGATATAAATGGGCCTTTTTGTTTTGTTTGAGGTTTCGAACCCAGACCAATGATGAATAAAATGTCATAACTTGCCATTTCGATGGTTGTGATCTTTGGTGGGAAAGTTATAGAAATAAGAATGAAGCTTTTTCGTATAAAATTTGGGAAACCCTCGAAGACATTAAGAAATCATGACAAATACAGTGCTGCTTAGTTATTGAGTCTTCTTAAGTGGGATCTTCGAAAATGGCTAACCAGTTCAGCATGAGTTACACGTTGCGAGATTCGGCTTGAAGTTATGTCGGCGACAACCATTACTACAACTTTACTTAAGTAGTATCTTTTGTCTGATGTATGTTTCAGTGATGCACAGTGTGCGCTTACGATAACTGTAGAATCCCCACTCCTCGCCCCTATTCCTGCTAAACATTCTAAATGCATTCACCGCACCGCACAGACATCGACGAATGTGAGGAGCATCTGGACGGCTGTGCGTACGGTTGCGAGAACCTTCCAGGTGGATTTCGATGTCATTGTCCGCCCGGGATGTTGTTGGCTGAGGACAAACTCTCCTGCACCACATGTGAGTTGAACTACTAATTCATATTTTGTAGTCTCATCTGCAGCAAGCCTAATTTGAATCGAAAAGTCCATTACTGGGCGTTGTAAGATGTAAGTAAATGAGCAAGAGACGGTGGGGTCTAATAGCAGCAGTCGGATCAGTGGTGAAATGTTTTTTCCAATTCCCCATGTGGTCTTTGCGCCATCTTCGTCGGAGACATCACCTACCACTTGTACGTTGTACAAGTGATCGTAATCTGTTTCGTCAAACACACATTATTTTAGAATCGTGCGCATGCTAACGATTGACTGATGCTAGCAAACCAATTTGGACATCCTTGAGGCAAATAGAAGAGTAAATCTTTTGTCGCCCGCATAAAAATGTCAGACTGAATTGCTAGCCAAATGTAGAGACAGTTTCAAAATCGAAGTAGTTGGTTTAGCTTTCATTTTTCTTCGGAACTCTGGTTCAACGTTCCATATTCCTGGCGCGTTGAAAACGTTATTAGGCTGTGTCCTGACGCCTTCCGTTACCCTGAATTTGCGGCAAAACTTGCTTTCATTGATATTTTGGCAGATTTTGAATTCGCGTCGTCCGGCGGGGCCTCGTAGCTCAGGTGGTTAGAGCGTTGGCTGTACTAAAGCCTTCCCCCTTACTGCGTGGGTTCGAATCCCACCGAGGCGCCGAGTTTTTCACAGTTGGGTCAATATGAAAACTTGCTTTGTCGAAACTAACTGCATAGCCTATGTCCTTGTTTCATATATATATTTGCGACTTCCTTGAGGTCTTTAGTCCACATAAAGTGCCGCAGAGCTCTTCTATTTCGACAGCTTATGCGTGCATTAGCGCGAATACAAGAGCAGGAGGGAATCGGGGCGTAATTTTGCTTAGGCTTTCAAGTATGGCGTGGAACGCGGTCGGAAGAAACTGAGCAGTTGGAGTCAAAGCACAGTTTGCCACCTGCAGTTGACATGTTCAAAAGAGGAACAATTAGCGTACTGGAGCCGACCATGCTTATGAATTCTGCTCAATTTGTCGATGAGCAATCATTGAAGGTTCTACGGAGAGCGGAAATGGTACAGTGCCACGGCCTATGGTGAAACGGCCTCGCAACCACACGTCGTGCAGCTGGGCAAGCCAGCCGCGCAATGTTGAATCGGGCAGCCAATTAGTGTGCGCTGCGGCCCCGTACACGTGCGGTGGCTTTGCTCCCGCATGCGGCCCGATCAATGGTTGGTTGAATATTCGAGACTTTTCCGCGGGGGGGGGGAATTCTCGCGCATGCAATGGCCAATCCGCGACCGGGACGCCCTAGGCAGGAATGCCCTAGAACGCTCTTAGCGGCTGGCACATCATTGGCCGGAATGTTTCAGAACGTAGAGGGGCCAACATAAATAAGGCGTCTTTCTGGCGATTCACAAACCACGTCGGCTGTGTATGACCGGCTGGCGACGGCTAATAAGCCAGAAATAGTCATTCCAGTGTCCTTGTCTTTGTCGGTAATGCTATTCCGCCTAAACCCCCAAGTGTTCGCCGGCCGTCAATAAAGCGTTTGTTTTCCGAACCGGCTCGTTTTCTGTTCCTCCTATTTCTCGGGTCATAACAGAAAGATTGGAGCGGAAATGGGGATTACGAACGAAAACGTTGGCTATGCAGTTTCAGTGCCTCTACTTTACTCACAGACAGTCCCAGCAAGCATTAAATACGTCTTAAGACCTCCTCTCTGTGTCTGATTGTGATCCGCACTCTTTAGCGAATTGGTCAACTTGTCGTATCCAGCCACGCGCTGTGAGATTCGACTCTCATGTTTCGCAGGATCGTATTGAAGAGCTAGGAGGCAGCAAACAACATCGCAGTCTCGTTCGTGCCAGCTCGCAGTCCCTTCAGCCTAACCAGGAGTTGCAGGGTTGAGTTGCCAGCTCTGGAATATCGGAACAAAACGTCAGAAAGTTAAGGCACCCAAATAGTCATTTACTCATGCGGAGCGCAGGCACATGCTTTGGGATGAAAGTAGGTAGGATGAGCAGTCCGTGGAACCTAGTCGTGTCCGTATCTGTGGGTTCAATGGAAATTGCTGCTGCTGCTGCTGCTGCCGATGATGATGATGATGATGATGATGATGATGATGATGATGATGATGATGATGATGATGAAGACGACGACGACGACGACGACGACGACGACGACGACGATGATGATGATGATGATGATGATGATGATGATGATGATGATGATGATGATGATGATGATGATGATGATGATGATGATGATGATGATGATGATGATGATGATGATGATGATGATGATGATGATGATGATGATGACAATAATTGTGACGATGGGGGCAATGGTGACGGTGATGATATTACACTTTTGTTCTAGAAACCAGTGGCACCAGAGTATTTCGGAACAAAATAATACGCCAATGAGTCATGTCCGTTAGAGCTGAGATAGGATCATAATCTGGCAAAGCAATGCACCCCAAGCATAGGGGGTTTATCGTGTATTCCGCCAGCTTGTACCTAGAAGTTTGGGCCGTAGGAAAACTGTTCGCTGCTGCCCAGGCACTGAAACGTCCTCCTGATCTCGAATGCGGGAAAGGGAGTTTTCCCACTACGTTTACAATAAATGTCGGCAGTCTCCTGTGATGATCTCTAAACTTTTGGGGGGCGGGAGGGTGCTCCGGCCTTAGTTATGGTTTGCTTATCAGGCTGGTAAACGTTTACTACTAATGTATTCACAAAGTAGCGTTTGCACTGCTGTAGGTTCACAAGAATGAAAGGCAAGAGAGACTTTTGTGAGAAAGACCAGTGTACATTATTGCTGGTTAGTTCCAACAAATCGATTCCGAGCAGTCAGCAGTAGCTTGTTCTCCGACAATTAAACCGCGGCGGATGTTCCAACCTCGCCTGTAAAACTTCTTTAGTGCTGACTTTTCATCCTTGTACGATCATCGAAGGGGTTCTGACTGGATCTTAAGGCCAAATTGGAACGTACACAATCTGCATTACAGCTAGACTAGCTTGTTGACCTCCGTTCCCACATGAACTTGGAACGATATTCCCTGAAATGCCTCCTTTTCTTAGACGTGGGTGTGCTGCATTGTTGTTCGTTTAGTAAGGTAGTAAAGTTTCAGGGTGGAACCCGAACGGTTGATTTCATTCATCATAAATGAATGATTGGCTGCGCCTTTTAAGTTCCCCTGCATAATACTGGTTCACAGCCAGATCGAGTTTCTGTTCCGACTCAAGAGTTAGGCTTAACCCGCAGGCCTGTAGATCATCTCATAAGCCTTTCACCAGTATTCCTATTAAAACTCAAATTTTGATTTATATGACTGAGAGGTATTTTAAGCCCCTAACTTTCACAAACGATCTCAAGTTCTGCATGGGCATAAATCGGCTCACCGATCCGGACTGGTGACAGGGCGAAATGTGGCATTACATTTAAAAGGGGTATTCATGATGAAACCCCCACGTTTACTTAACGTCGTCATGCAAGCCCAGACCAACCCAGGCTATATGACCTGATCCTTCAAGCAGCGTCTAATTAGCCATTGCACATAATAATTTATCAGTTGAGGTAAGAGGAGGCGCTAAAGCGGCTCCTGTCGTTTTCACAGAATTTTGCACGGAGCGTGAGCGAACTTGCTCGAACTAACAGCCGTTACACGGTCAACAGTCTCCACCTTGATTACGTGCCCATGTCATATGACCTTGAGTTTTGAAGAAGGAGACACGATCTCTGGGACAAGAGCTTTATTAGCCTGACGTTTCGGATTCCTGCTCGAACCCATCATCGGAGACAAAATCAGATACGGATTTGTCAGTTCGTAAATGGCGTAAGGTGAGATCATAGCTCAGCTAGTCGAACACTAATACTCCGTGAAGGCTGGACCAGGGTTCAAAGGACAGATCTTGTCTGAATGGGGTTTTGACATGCCTGTCTGAAGACGGCTGATTAATATTTCTACTCTGGCCCCTCCCGGAACCGCACTCACGTCGGTGACTACGCGAGCATTTTCTGAGAACGAGGGTCACGCCGCCGCGGCGAACCCTCCAATCAGATGAGTGTGGCCGGCGTGTCCCTCCACAGTCAGTGAACTTGCGTGCGAATCCCCTCTCCTCCAGTAGAACCGGCTTCACGAACTGGTTATCGCCGCCCGCTGTCGGCGTGTTCAACAGCCGAGCCCCTAGTTGTCAGGAAATTGCACATTAGTCGTACAGCCCATCAAAGAAGTCGATGGACCTTGGCGAGAATTGCCAGCTTCCGTTTTTGTTCCTAGATGTGGACCCCTGTGCACCGCCAGCACGAGGAGGCTGCGAGCACGTCTGCACCACTCTCTCGCAAACGCGTTACGCATGCTCCTGCTACCCCGGCTACCGCCTCGCTGCCGACATGAAGGGCTGTATACGTGAGTCTGACTTCCCCTTAATCCCCCTCTCTCCAACACCCAGATGAAACCAAGTCAGCCGATTATCTTCATGGTAAACTGTGTGTGTGCGTAAATCACTAAACATGCTATCTGGTGGAGAATGCTACTTAAGTGCGGTTTCAGTACTGATTAACAGGATGCATGTGCGCAGTTAGAAGCCAATTCTTACTCAGTAGCGTGCAGAATCTTCCCAGCGACCTGAATAATTCTCACTGGGAGAATGTTCCCTACTTAATTGTCTTGAAGAGAGCCATTAAGTAGTGGTGCGATACTGATAAGCATGAGAACTTCCCTTCAGCTGATTCAAACGCTGCCGATTTGGACACAAAATGCTACCTCAACTTAAGCAGACCACATCGAGGTCTACTAGCTTCCTTAGAAATAGTCATTAACCAGTTTGCTTTCAACCAACCCCTTCGGGGAAATTACCTCTTGGTTGGGGGGTAAGTTTTGAATTAAAAGAATGCTGCACTACTTAAATTCTGATTGGTGGAAATTTCTATTGTCTACTCTGGTGTGACGCGTGCTTATGCTTAAAATGAAACTTGTAAGTATCGATGCTACGGCAGACTTCTTCATAGCTTTTTGTGAGGAGGGGGTATCCTAACATTCAGAACATTCGCACAGTTTGAAATCCACATCGTCCGGGATCACCCTTTTACTGGTCTGTTAACATTAAACAGCACTTATATTCATATGAAGGTTCCAGGACAATTTTTGGTTCCAACTCTTCCGAACCAAAATAATCGCGTCTATCAGAGACGAACGTAAGGAAAACTTAATTTGATAAGGGAACCATTAAACAGATGAAGAGTTACATGAACTACCGGAGTAGTTTCTACTCATGTAGGGGGGTAAGGAGTATTTCGCAGTGCAAACCAGCATGACTGGGTATAGCTGTGGATTTCTTATTATTATTCCAAATGTGTCGATATTGCAGACCAACTTGCCAATGTGACAAAACAGCCGATAAATGTTGTTTAAATTAGTACTGTGTCTTCAGACACAGAAGTTCTAAATTTTTAAAGTCAAAAGAGTCCCGCTTTTGTGAAAATGAAGCAAGTTTTCACCGTCTGTTTGAGTTGGTTTTCGAAGCCGGAAAAGTCGATTTTAGAATACGCGAGGACTATTCGGGCTGATGTTGTCTTCACTACTTCACAGTGCGAGAAGTGGCCTGGGTTTGCGGCCGTGTTGATTTTGCGTTAAAATTTCACGAGCAATTTTGAAATTTCTTTGAAGAATATTTTACATATCATGTGTAAAAACACAGTCCAGAACGCCAGCGCTGTCCCCACTGAGGCGATCTACAAGCCAGTTCAATCAGCATTTATATCGAAGATTTTTTTAGTTTTTTAGGCCCGTACATCAACTAGAAGGATTGAGAATAATGTCGAGGTGGATCTTTTTACTAAGTTGCAGTTTTTTCGTTCAATGGGACAAACTAATTCCTGCCTATAAAAATCTTTACACCTTGAGCCCCAATTTTGCCTAATTTTGAGAGTAGTGCGTTCTCAGTCCATGTACCGGATACGCTTTCGTGAAATGCGTTCATCTATTACGATGCCGCCTATGTGAAACTTTTCAGATCATGCATCTAAGTAGAGCTGGGCTCTGTCCGAGTTTTGTCTGTTGGAGCAAGGAGTCATCCACGAATGCCCAACAGATCAGCAACGGAGTTATGAAATAACCTGTATGGACCTGCCAAACGTGTGCTTCAAACCAGGCCTTTCTTTACATCGAAAACAAACTCACTAGATAGAATGTGCATTTAGCCTGCAGCATTAGACGTTCAAATAAGCAGATGCTGAAATGTGGAGGATTAAAAGAAAGATCGTTTCCTCTGGAACAGAGCAACTGTAATAATCGTGCTATATTTTCAATAAGGAAATGGGGGTTCCTCAAAGTTCATGAAGGCCACGGAATGATCGGTCGTGCAAAACAAGTTTCTGAAGGCGATTTCAAACACGATTCGGCTCACCGCTTTTTTTTTACCAGCGATGCCCTTTACAGAACTTACCGCAGGGAAATTTGTGCAAGCCAGCGTTCATACATCTAACAGTAAATGCGCAGACCATAAACAGGAATTTATCATGTCTGGCCCAGGCAATTAACTTTGGGAAAATTATTCAAGATCCCTTTTTTGTGCAAGTATTTGCCATTGTCCTTTCTTTGTGTCCAGCTCAGAATCCCTGTCAGGAAGACAACGGCGGCTGCGACCACCAATGCGAGAACAACAACGGTATCGTTAGCTGTACCTGCCGACCTGGATACAGGCAATCGCCTACAGATCCCAAGAAGTGTATCGGTAGGTTTTATTGCTTCTACACCTTTGGCGGGGCGAAGGTTAAGATTGCTGAGATGAGTGATTGAGTGAGTGGTGTGTATGAGCAGCACTCGACGGTCATGTCTAACTAACTTGTTCGCCCGTCACAGGTGACAGAAATCCCCACCGCTCCGCGGGGAGCGTAGATGACTT